GATCTTGCCTACGTCTGTTTCCGGTTTCGTTTATGACTGATGTATTTTGTTATACACACACTCCTTCACATTTACATTTTAATTTACATTAAAGTATTTCGTGAGGCCTTCTAACTATAACTACGGTTGTAGTTGAAGAGTTTGTAAATTAACATGAACCGAAGCTGTTGCCTGGCAACTCAATCGCACAACGTCACGTCCGTTAATTCCACATCCACACCTATGATCCACACGCATAGATTAACATCGATTTAATACATTAATGTAGCCTTTGTTTCTGCTAAAAGAGGTGTCGACCAGCTGGGGCAACAAGAAAATCGGCGTAATCGAGTGTGACTATTAAAAAATAAATCATTATTATATTAATATTGACAATAACAACCGACCGTCGGGGTAGCATTTGCTTGGGATATCCGGGTATTTCTCCACTGGTTAACAATACAGTGTAACTGTCACATTTGAAGGGACGAAATCGTGACATCTTCACGTCTCCCAGCATGGTAAATCGTCACATGTTCACGTCTTGCTGTGATACCGGGTTGGGTGTAACACAACCCACGGTCCGTGTAGGAACAACCTTTAAACAGTAGTTCCTTTTACAGAACACCTCCCCTCTTAAGTAGGAACCACCCTCTTTAGCACAACTCTTCAGTTAACCAATGGCCGGTCAGGGGCAGTGTGGTGGGACGATGTTGTAGGGCGTTTATCCATCGGGGCTCCACCCACTGTACCCATAGAGAGGCGAAGTCCCGCCCATCTACTTCCGACCCATGGGACCTTATTTTGGAAAAATTATGTATTGAAGTCAAAGGGGAGAGAAAACTTATCTTTCGATCCCGTTTGAATTGTGCCATGAATTACACATATGATGTTTGTCAATCTTAAAAAATAATTTCCATGTCAAAAAGTCAGTTTGTCGTATAACTGTTGAAATATAAGACTATGAAAAATACGCAACTAGAAAGACTACAAATCCCAGAGTCGCGTAAGTGATGTCATAACTGATGTCATAATTGTTTTCATCCGCTAAATATAAGAGATAGCTAAGATAAGACAACTTTAACAAGATGCCTGTGTGCTTTGTACCAGGTTGTAATCATACAAGCAATGGGTCTTGCTCGTTCTTTCGCTTCCCGTCTGATGAAAGGACCAGGAGTGGCTGGATCAAGTTAGCTACCTAGCTAGCAGCAAGCACGTTAGTTAGCATTACAGCCTTAGCCTTGTCATTTTTATTAGCCTTAACATGAAGTAACATTAAGTAACCCAAAATGTTAAACAGTAAGAGTAGTAGTCATACTTCGTGAACCTTTTGAAGAGTACTGTCACACCGGTGTGATCAATCTATAATACACCGTTTGAGCCCGGATGCCCCCGAGGGAGACAGGCTAATGCTACATTAGCATCGGCGATCTTTTCTACTTCATGCTATCTGCACAAATGGTTAACATTGAACATTCAAAAGATCAGGCAGTTCAGGGAGAATGAAAGGAGGCAGGCAGGCAGCTTTGCATGACATTCTTCTGGACGTTTTTCATTGTGGTGATAGTGAGGATAGTCAATCCCTTTTTTGCAAGACAGTAGTGACGGCCATCTTGGTGATGTTGTTCTGCGAGACCAGAGATGTAGTTCATTGAGTGTTTCACACAAAAAAATTGTTACTTCACAGTTTTACGACACTTTTTTTTTTTGACTTACAAAATTATCTTTTAAATTGACAAACATCATATGTAATTCGTGGCACAATTCAAACGGGATCGAAAGATAATCTTTCTCTCTCCTTTGACTTCAATACATAATTTTTCCGAAATAAGGTCCTATGGAGGTCCACCGGAAGGGGAGGCGGGACTTCACCACTCTCTGCGCTCCGCAGCACAGCAGTAGCCCAGCTAAGAGTCCAACAGAGAGGCAGGAGCTGCGGGACAGTAGCCTAGAAGTAATCCTTCGTTAGCGTGAAGAGTCTGCTAAGCGTTATGCACTCCGCAGTACCTGAGCGTGCTCCACTAGCACATAACTACAACCTTGTGTTTGACTTTATGATTAAAATTGCAACTGAGGGTTCAATCCATGCTTTTACAGTATAAGGGAGTGACAGGGGTGAGGAATTCAGGACCCTAATGCAGTAGAGGGGAGGAAGGTTTAAAAGTATGGAGAAAAAGCAAACTTAAAGAGAAGGCCAGGTAAAACAAAGGGGAGAGTATATAGCAAACAAAAACTAGGGACAAACCAGGGTGACGCTACAAAACAGGAGGAGCAAAATCCAGACTAGCAAATGCAAACAGGGAGCATGGACAGGAACCATTTCGGGGGACCGTTCATGGGTACAATATATGACAGACTGACAAAGAATACTTAGACAGACAGGCATACTGAATATAGAAATATATATAATATCCAAAAATAAACCAGAAGACGTTAAATACAAAAAGCATGATCATGACCATAAGAACAAATTAGTGAATGAAGAGATGCAAAAGTAAAGTTGAGGGTTCAGATATATTTTACTTACGAGAAAACTTTACTCACTTCCGACTTCTTAATGGCTTTAAGAGCATTATCACAATATACAATTATTTCATGAAATAAAATCTACATTGTCATGTGAAATGACCCCAAAATACATTTGTAGTTAAATGTGTTGCAAAGAGACGCAGAAGATTCTCCAGAGAATGGTAAGTATTTATCCTCACCAATCTCTAAATAAATGTTTACATCAAAATTAGATTTTCTTTTTACCTCCTTGTATCTTCCAGGTCTCCAGAGGTTAATATGTTCAGGGTTGAATGCAGAATGAATGGTTATATAAAAGATGTATGTACTGTACAGTAGATAAATTCACATTACAAATTGATTCTATAATCTTTATATGAATAAACACCCACATTTACTACGGTAAACTCTGCAAAGCAAACATTCAAGGAGAAAGATACAACTGCTTTCAGACACAGTGCTCACAGTGGGAGCTTCATGTCAGCCTCGGGCCTGTCTGGTTTCTTTGGTTTGGAATAAGAAGAGACTTTATAGACAGAGTGAGAGTAAAGAATTCAGGAATTGAGAAAAACTGGAAAGTATGAAATACTGCATGAGGAAATAATACATAGGAATATTTTTGGTGCATCTAGTAATGTGGCAGGTGTATAATTATAAAGGTGTGTGTGTTTGATCAGAGGGTGGTATAATTGGAAAGTGTGTGTGTGTGTGTGTGTGTGTGTGTGTGTGTGTGTGTGTGTGTGTGTGTGTGTGTGTGTGTGTGTGTGTGTGTGTTGCATCAGATCACAGAGCTGTCATCAGAGCTTGCTGATGAGAGGAACACCGGGGAGTCCGCTTCCCAGATGCTGGAGAGTGAAACTTCTGAGAGACTCCGCCTGGAGAAGGGCATGAGCGACCTGCAGGTACACACACACACACACACACATACACATACACACACACACACACACACACACACACACACACACACACACACACACACACACACACACACACACACACACACACTCAGACTGAAGAGAACGTAGGGCTGTGGTAAAGTCACGTAGTCAAGTCTGCAGAATAAGAGAGTTGTGTTGTGTTCACAGGCTGCGGCTGGTCCAACTCCTAACTTTAGGTTTGATTAACACTGTCACACATCAGCGGACTAATGCCTCTCTGTGACCGTTTCCCTCACTCAATGCTTTTTCGAAGCACATTTCTATTAAGGCAAATGAAAATGGAGCTAGCTGATTCCGATGGAAAACAGAGATTGATAGCAGTTTATAGCTCTATTAGCCATTCAGCAGTGGGCTAATAAAGATTTTTACAACGCAGCAACATTATCCGACTTCGCAATGAAGTTTGGTTTTAAGGCGCATTGTAAAATGCAGTTTAATGTCTGCTCATTTATATATAGATTTAACATTAGCCTAGCAGCTTGAATTACTAACGAACGGAACTGTCTGCCTTTGCTCCTTTGGTCTGTTGTAATGTTTCAAAGGGAGTATTAATGTTACTATATGTTAAAGCTAAACTTGGATAACTGAAAGGCTGTGTCATATTTAAACATTGCTGTTTTGTCAAGACATTCAGGCAGATATAAAAAGACCCAAGAGCTCATTGAATGACTAAAAAGGTCTTAGAATTTGAAATGGACAGATTTCACTCCCAGATGTTGCTTTAATAAAATGCTGATAGGAGCAGGCCCTTATTACCTTCTCCGTAGCATCTTTAGACTGTTACAGAGTGGAGTGTATTTATTAATTTTGATAATTAGTTAAAGTTGTCTTTAAAAACATATAAAAATAAGAATGTATTTGGTTCTAATTAATAGAACACTAGGGGAATTTTGCAAAAAATAAATGGCTGGAAAGAAGTTCTGATTGTAAGAGCACATACACATGTCTTTCCTTTGTATCTACAATATAAACACATCCAGGTCATCAGAATAAACCTTAACTTCCACAAAGATGAATGATCTACAGTGGTAGCTTGTACTCTACTGCACATCTCTCCTAACAAGCTCCACACATTCAAATGTCAGTAAAGCATTTGTTTTTGCCAAACAGAAGATTCAGTAACCTGAAAGGCTTGATTCAGGGCAAAACGTCTCTTAGGAGTGTTCCATTTCCTGGCTAACAATCTGCCCCAGCTGTCAGCCGCATTTACCGAGAAACAGTTTTCACATTGTGGGACAGGATCCGGGGGGTTCTTTGAAAATTAATGACGTGTTTTCAGAAATAGATTAGCAAAATAGCACACTGAGGGTCACACATAGCATCAACTTTCCCAGTAAATCTATGGAGAGGGATATGTGCACGTTGTCATAGAAACTGTTCCTTCTCTCCTCCACCAGGCCAAGTTTGACAGCACGAACAAACAGATGGAGTCCATGGAGATGGAGGTGATGGAGGCTCGACTCATCAGGGCATCTGAACTCAACGGCGAGATGGACGATGACGACACAGGTCAGACACCATCATGTACACTAAATACCAGATAGGCTCTAGGGCAGCTCACTTCTCATATTTCTATCATGTAGCTTTAAAAGTCATAGGTTAGGTTGCAAATCAAATAACCAGGAGCGTGTGTTTCAATGTATTTTGTTGTTTTGTTTTATCCCGTGTTGTTTTGCCGGGGCCTTGTGCGTCCGTTGGGGTCATTGAAATTAATGAGGAGGATGCGTTTTAACAGTGCTGATGTCAGCACCACAAACTGCAGCCTCAAAAACAACCATTGAGTTTAATCAAAGCCTGACAAAGTTTCCTTAGAAAAGGAAATGGAGAGAACTGTTGTATTATACTAAGGGTGCGATCATAAATAATCTCTCACAATCTAGCTAAAGCTGGATCGTTAGTAAACTTTTTGTTTGGTTATTTAGATTCAAGATTCAAAGGTTAGAGCAGGTCACTCTCGGGGCTTTAGCTGGCCACCTTGCTGCAGTGATATAGAGGTGTATTTTAGTGATTTTCAATTAAATTGTTAGCTTACTACTTACATCTTCTCTAACTCTTCATGTTAGCTATATCCTATGTTTTCTCATTTATTTCAATAGACATTTTGCTACAGGCTATCACGGCATGTCATAATCATCTGTTATATGATTACACTCTTTTTCTTCAAACAATAAGGCTCTCATTTCAGTGTAAAGCATCAGATAGGATATACAAACACACCCTAAAATAAAGATACTGTGTCAAATTCACTCCCTAAAGTGTTGACAATTAGTCTTTCAACAACAAGCTGTCAACAGAACCTTGTCAAACAAGCTCTGAGTTGAATATCTCTCTGGCGCTCTCTGCACACATCCATACACACAGGCACGCAGAGACAGCACAAAAGGACTAATAACCTCCCAGACGTATTTATCACAAACAGTAGGTGGGTGTCCAATCGATGCTTTGACAAAAGCCAAGAAAAGTCTTATGTGAAGAAGGACATTAGAAATCGATGAGTTAAAAGTGAAAAATTAAGCAAGGACTCAAGTTCCAGACACATGCTGTCTTTGCGTGACATGCAGATGTGATGAGTGTAGGATTGATTTGTCTTGATGTTGCAAAGGTTTGAACAGTTTTCACAATACGTGTTCAAGCCATTGCAGAGTTTTGACAACCATATGAACATTGCTCTACTTTTGCAGCGAGCACCGCGAGAGAAGCAAAGTGACGTCACCCCATTCAAAGTGAATGGGCAGAAGCGTTTAAGCGGCAACGCACGCCGCCGTGTGTAGGGGCCGTTAGGCATTACCTGAACATCCCCCCCATTAAACCATAAAACCCCCCAGTCCCAACCTCTTGCAAATCCACCTCTTGCCCTTCCTGAAATATAAATCCTAAACGTATATCTCTGTTAAACACATGAAGGATTACAAATTATATTTAAAGGATTAAAAGGCAATCAGAGTATAACACATCATCTATTTATATTATTTAAATGATTATATGAACATTTGACACGACAGAAACTAAACAAGTGTTTGCCCGTCCAACATCCTGTAAATACAAACGTTATTTACATTTCCTAGGTTTAGTAAAAAGTGATCATGATGCCTTTGAATTATATATTTCCTGACACAAAGTTGGGAGGTATTTATTTATTTACTGAAATATTGAATAATAAGAGTAAGCATATTGAGATGTGGAGGTAAGAGGTGAGGCTGACTGTGAACATGCTGCTGACAGGAGGAGAGTGGAGGCTGAAGTACGAGCGAGCCATCAGGGAGATTGAATTCACCAAGAAGAGGCTGCAGCAGGAGTTTGAGGACAAGCTGGAGGTGGAGCAGCAGAACAAACGGCAGCTGGAGAGGAGGGTGGGTTACGCTGACACACACCCTCATACATAAACCCCTTTTATCTCAGGTGCTAACTACACACAAGCAGTGCATTAATGAGGTTTCAATTACGAGGTAGTTTTAATGTGGATGTAGAGCATACATCGGGTGGCTGTCACTTAGGGGGTCTACGAATCAGAGGGTCACAGATTCAAACTTCAACCCTGCATGTCAAAGTGTCCTTTAGCAAGATACATAGCCTCAAATTGCTCTGTAGGCATCTCTACGCTTACCTTGGATAAAAGCGTAGCTAAAATAGCATTACAAAGGTAATCATTTGTTCTTTTTAGTTCCCTGCAACAGAATATTTTTAACATGTTGACAATGTTGTCCAGTTCTAAATCAGTGTAATTTGTTTGCGCAGATCAGCGACCTGCAGGCCGACAGCGAGGAGTCCCAGAGGAACATCCAGCAGCTGAAGAAGAAAACCCAACGGATGACGTCTGAACTGCAGGACACCAAACTCCACCTGGAGGGCCAACAGAGCCGCAACCACGACCTGGAGAAGAAGCAGAGGAAGTCAGTACACACACAAACAGACGCATGCACACACACACACACACACACACACACACACACACACACACACACACACACACACACACACTGCACGTGCACAAATGCACGCATGCATGCACACACAAACAGTTTCATGTTAGAACAGGTGTCTACAAATACTTGTGACCACCATCTGTTGCCACAGATGGTGTAATGTCCAGTTGCGTTACTGTAGTAACCCTAATAACTCTAAAAAAACAAAATAGTGACTGTTTATAGAGTGGTGCAGGAATTAGTCCTACTGTAAACCCAGAAATGGGTTTCCTTGTCTCGAAGTCAATGGTGTTTTGAATGAGTTTTTGGTTTGATACCCGAAATATGGTCTGTGGATTTGTTGTTCTATGGCAGCGGTTTTCAAAGTGTGAGGCGCGCCTTCCCTGGGGGGCGCCAGAGAGCTTCAGGACCGCTGCCATAGAACAACAAATCCACAGACCATATTTCGGGTATCAAACNCTCCGGTCTAGCAGAACAACACACGTCACCAAGATTGCCGTCACTACTGTCTTGTCAACAAAAGGATTGCCTACCCTCACTATCACCACAATGAAACACGTCCAGAAGAATGTCATGCAAAGCTGCCTACCTGCCTGCCTTCCTTTGATTCTCTCTGAACTGCCTGGTCTTTTTAATGTTTAATGTCAACCATTTGTGCAGATAAAAAAAGATCGCAGATGCTAATGTAGCGTTAGCATTTCTCCCCCGGGCTTAAATTGTGTATTATAGAATGATCACACCGGTGTGACAGTACTCTTCAAAGGGTTCACGAAATACTGGCACTTCATGTTAAGGCTAATAAAAATGACAAGGCAGTAATGTTAACTAATGTGCAAGCTACTAGCAAGGTAGCTAACTTGATCCAGCCACTCCTGGTCCTTTCATCAGACGGGAAGCGAAATAACGAGCAAGACCCATTGCTGATATGATAACAACCTGGTACTAAGCACACAGGCATCTTGTTAAAGTTATCTTATCTTAGCCAGCGCCATATAGATATATTCTATCTATATGGCGCTGATCTTAGCTTTCTCTTAGTGGAGGAAAACCGTTATGACATCACTTACGCGACTCTGGGATTTGTAGTCTTTCTAGTTGCGTATTTTTCATAGTCTTATATTTCAACAGTTTTACGGCAAACTGTGACTTTTTTGACATGGGTTAGGTCCGGTCTGACAGCGCTTAGCTCTCTGCTGCAGAGAAGATCACTGCTCTAAACAAAGTCAAAAATCCTACATCCAAACGGAATAAATATAATTAATTATTATTAATACGTTAAGTCTTGTTCATTGTTTTTCACTTGTATTAAATGTTTGATATTTCCGGCACAGACCCTTTCATACCGGCAATGCGCGATAGAAACAACAGAAAGTGCGACAGTTTAAATATGCCAGTGTTAATTTCGTTAACGAAAACTATGACAAAAAATGTTCGTCAACAACCTTTTTTACATGACTAAGACGAGACGATGACGAGCTAAAAATAGATTCTTGATGACGAAAACTATGACGAAATATATATTTAGTTTTCGTTGTTGAGAGGAGACGGGACTAAGGTGTTAATGGTGGACTATCGGACATTCAAAATGCAGCATATTTTTCCCATTTTGTCCATCTTGTCTGTCAAAATGCATCTTACGTTTCTAACTTGCAATATCATTATTTCCGCTCTCTTCACTCCAGAAGAGCGATCTCCCTGTGTCTCTCTGTGTGCGGGGGGCGGGGCCTAACAGACATGCTGCAGCAGACACAGAGATCTGCAGGGGGCGGAGCGTTCAGAGAGACACATTTTGACTAAAAGTTGACTAAAATGTAATTTTTCATCGACGAAAAGTTGACTAAAACGTTTTGAGTTTTCGTCGACTAAAACTAGACTAAAACTACGAAGGATAGGAATGACTAAAATGTGACTAAAACTAATAACCATTTTCGACTAAGACTAAGACTAAATCAAAAACAGCCGCCAAAATGAACACTGTTTGGTAGACACCCTGAAGGCATCACACTGTCCATCTGTTGGTCGGATATATCTTAGCAACTGTTGGACGGGTTACCACGCAGTTTGGTTCAGGTAGTAATAGTGCTCAAAAGGTACTTTCTAATGACTTTGGTTATCCTTTTTATTTAGCACCATAACAGTATTTCAAATGTTTCAATTATCAGTTCCTAAGATCTGCAGGGGCAACCATGAGATTCAGATTTGTAGTTTTTAGTGTAACTAAAGGAAAATCAGTACAAACATGTATGTCCCGCTCAGGATGACCATCTTTAGGGATTCCCAAACCATTCAAAATATAACTTGAGTTAAGGGAGTGTTATTATTTCAATTTAAAAAGGTCCTCAAATTCTTAAATTACAATTATTTGCTATCTAGTCAAAGGGGCTCTGGCAAAATCTTTATATGAAAAGTGATGATTGCAGCTGTGTAAATGTAGTGAAGGAAAACATTTTCAATATGTAAAGCTTAAACACAAAACTTGTTAACAAGGTAAAGAATATACGGTGTCCACAAAAAATCTGCATGTTTGCGTTTCCATTATGAGGATGTCAGCATGAGGGCGATAGCTTTTAGCTCAAGGCACAAGTTTGCCAAAGTACAGCCTCACAGAGCAACTAGCATAAGTCCCTAAATCTATTCATAAATTCCTACTTTGAATAAAAAACGAAAACAGAAGTCAATTGCATCCAATGATTGTATATTTGTATGCAAATGTTGACGCAGATCAGATCCATATTAAGAAACCTTTAGCATTTGGTTGAATTAAAATTTCAAATCTGAAGGACTGTGAAGCCTCTGCAGAGTTATGTGCTCTCTGAGTGCTTTCTAATTAGTTCATGTTTGTGCTTTTGTGTTTCTGACTTATTGCTTTCTGACACCTTCATATTGCGTTGTCGACAGACCATTTCCTTCACGGAAAGGTCACAAGACACTTTGTCATGCGAGCGCTGTTCAGAAAGTGACGACTATTAATCACACGCTACCAACAGAGACAAAACACTTGAAAAATGTTCTTGCTGAACAATGGAAACACTTTATACATTATTCACTGAAATCTACAGTCTGTCGGCTTGGCAGCAACATATATTTCATCGTGTGTTGCAAACGGAGTGATATGTACACAACATGGAAGGTAACAGAACTTTATCTCAGAACATTAAGTCAGATACAAACAACCTTTCAAGTTTCTTAAAGCTTTTTTGAAAGAATATGCGCTTTTGTGACAGGACTGCAAAATGACATTTCCAACAATAAAGAGAAAAAAAAATCAATATAATTTCTTCCTCTCCCGGGCAAACTAACAGGCTGTTAGAATGATACTTCATGCTGTCTTAAAGCCCGTCATGGCTCGCCCAGTCTCCTGCCAGACAGACTACAAAAGATGAAGCTGTCTTTCATCTCGTAGCTTGCATTATTCATCTAAAATTCACCGCCAAATCTGAATGATTGTGTCACTGTTCCAACAACAATATTACTTCTTTACTACTTCTCGTGTTACTAAGAAATTCAAACGAAAACATTTGTATTAAAACATCAACTTCAAGATTACATTTTAAGGCATTGTAGTCTTGCCTGTTTCCTCACTCAGTGCTAAAAGGGAGGATTATTGTGTGTGAGAGAGGAGGAGGTTAAATGGAAAGTGAGGGGAAGCTAGTTAGACTTTCAGCCACCCAGCATGATTGAGCCTAATGGGAGAGGAAGGTGGGCAGCCTGTATAGATCACACAGCATTGGTGTAGACAGCTGGTGGTGTGTGATGGTGTCTCTGCACCACGGACGCAATCAGTAGACCACCTCCCTCCTCTGTCTGCAGAAACACCTGAGACTACCTGCTATTAGAGGACAGGGAGAACCATGTGCAACAGCGGCTTATGCTCCTAGTAGAATGGGTTAAAAGCAGAGACTATATTTCACTGTGTGTGATGTTTGCATGAACATGTGTGACCAATAAAGAGGGTTTCATCCTCCAATGCTATATGGTTAGCATTAGAGTGCACCACTACAGACTAAAACATATCCTTTTGAGAGTTTGGGCTACCCTAACATGAACTCGTTCACAGTAGTGAAAAGAAAAGAACCAAAATACACATGTAAGTTTATATTTCACCAACTTTGTCGACTGGTGTCTTCAGATTTCTCCTAAATGTACCCGGAGTTAGCCACGTATAATGCCTCATTAAGCTTTTTTTAAATAACATTTTGGAAAATATTATACATCAACAATTATTATTTAACTTTACATATCTTTATAGGCTGTTTTTAATCACATGCTGAGCCAGAAATCTCCACTTCACTAGCACTTAGTACATACAACACACCCCAATTGCATTACTTTCTATATTCTGGAGTTGTTTTTACAGAGGGAGTTGTTCATATATCATTCATGGCCTGATTTATTCCCAAAAATACATGTCAGAAATAGATGTTATATTTAAGGCTGTTGAGAGTATTTTCAGATTTATGGAGTGATAAAAAAATCATCCTAACACTATCCAAAATTCCCTCTGTAAAAAAACCTTTGATTCCATATCAACAGAATGAAACAAGACATTTGAAGCTGGCTTTATCCAATGATCAGATGTATTATTTTGGGCAAATTAATGCAAATTAGCACATAATATAATGTCTAACTTTCCTACAATTTCATTAAACTTGTAACACAAGTGTCTTAATGTAAGCAATTCAATAGAGAAACGTCCTGGTATTATCTATTGTTTTACCCTACACATCTACACAATACAAATAATCACGTTGACATTTGAATGGCAGCCATGTCACTGCTTGTCATTACCAGCAAGTCGAGAACAAACAAAAGAAATCCGCTCTAGTAATTTCCCACTTTGTGACATTGACAGGTGTGTGAAGAGATGTGAGCCTTTGCACTCAGCAAACATGAAGAAACATCAGGACAACGCACTGTACAGAACAAAGCGTCTTTAGAAATGCAGCTGGCTGTAATCCCTTTATACCGAAGGGACCAAACAGAGACACTAGTGAGAAATGCAGCCTTCTCAATGGTGTGTTATTTTACAGCCATTTGGCAGTCTGTTTGAATTGTCAGCATATGCTCAAATTTGCCGGTTCCTCTTCAAACAGTTTGAAATGTTTTTCCACCATCAAAACACAGCACCATGATTTATTCTGCAGCACTACTTTGTGAATGACCTCTTTATGAATAAGCCAACAGCATGAGTGAGTCATCTGTGATTATACATGTTAATTATGAAGCATAGTAAACCATCAAGTCAAGTAAATGTTTATAGGTCGTAAATACTATGTATTTAAAGGAGTCTAATGAATTAAAGTGTAATGCTACAGAGGGATTTTCCAAAACTAAAAATAATGTGGTTCTAATAATAGGCTTACTGTTGTAAAAAACATTAGTAAATTATTACCATATGACTTGCATGACTTTTTGCAATCATTTAAATGCACTGCTCTGGTTGGTTAGCTAGCCGGCTCTGTTGTGATTGGTCAACCGCTTAGAGATGTCCCGCCCCTTAGCCTATCACATACAATTTAAGCATGAGTGTTTTATAGTGAGGTTGTTATGTTACAGAAGTAAACAAAGGAGTCCAATCGAAGCGTTTCAGGTAGGGGAGTGTGTGGGAGAGAAACTCCCTTTTGAGGGAACTTTGGAAATGTAGACTTTGCAGACCATTTACCGTACATGCACTAAAACCTATATAACAGGAAAGGAAAACCCCCAAAAGCACAAGAGGGCTTTTTCAAACGTCTATCTGAGGAGGATCATATCTTTGGTTGCTTTATTTGAAGGGGTCACAAACCAAAAAAACACAATACAAAACCCTACTCATATATTATCAAGAAATTCAGCTCAAACAACTATAACAAAAATCAATAAGCAGTTTTCTACCTGTGTCCAGCCGACTGCTAATGAGCGTAATCAATCATAGCAGAATCTTCCAGCAGAGCCTGCCATGCTGTTATTGTTTTCACCTTGTTTTCACCTGTGTGTCAGCGCTTGTGTGTGTGTCTATGGGAGGATTTTTTGACCATGATAGCGTTTCGTCTACGCAGACACCAACACATACAGGTGTGTATCAAAATGAAGGTCAAGTTGTGGGTGTGTTCTGAGCAGGGGGTGTTTCTGTGTGGGTGCATGACTGTGGCGAGATTTTGTGACCTTGATAGCATCACAACAATGCAAGACAGGCATGATACTTTAAATATGTATGGTTCTTTGGTTTGCAAGGGGATTAAAGGCCATTTATTCCTCATGTGGCCTGATTTTGTCAACACAAAAATGTGCCGAAATGTGTAAAAGAAAGGCTAAGTTCAAAGATGGCTGTGGTCCAAGAAAAGAAGCTGGAAGTAAGAAGAGGGGAAGTGACCATCCCTTGACTTTAGGCATAGGCAAGATTGTCTCTCTTCGTTCTTTACTGGTATCTTTGTGTACTGTATTTCTCTCCAACACAGACTGCATAAGTAAGTAACAGAAGGTGACTCAGGCAGAGCGGAGGTCGTACTGTTAGCACAGCCACAACTGAATCATAAACTCCATCTAACACCACATCAGGTGGAGGGAGCTTACAGTAGATCCCGGAGAACAGAGTGCTGCGGTGCTGCAGGCGCGGGCTGATCTGAGCGTGCTCTGAATGAACTCCCGGTGACCTTGAGGTTCACATCAATTTTGCACGAGGTCTACTCATCAAATAGACCAGGGACTATACTGCAGCACTGGCTCACCTGCTTTCCTTCAGGCAGACACCCACAGAGTGACCACACACACCCACACACACACGTCTCTGAGCTGATAATGGAAATTCAACTGCTGACCGGGGTACTCTGTACAATTACGTTCAGTAGGTTATTGCTGTTCCATTTTTAATAAATTGACATCCATTTGGCTTTCACGCCAAATGTTACACAATAAATATTCCTAAAACCACCGGAGTGTGTGTGTGGGTTTGTGCGCCTGTGTTCCAGCTTAAAAATCGTTAGCAATTACTGACATGATGCCATAAATATAGTACATGTGCAGAGCCATATTATGTGAACAGCAGATATAACACCATTTACAACTATAATTTATAGCCAGGAAATATGATGCTTTTACTCATAGTAAAAGCATCATATTAATAAATAAAAGCATAGTCGTCAAAGGCCGACAGAGTAAATAATTCAAAGACCATATATCCAAGCATATCTCACTCCCTCGTCGTCATACAAAGAGGCTCGGTCAGTGCCCCTTGGACTATGATACAAATGTACCAGCGTTATAGAGAGCTTTTTCGAAGGTGGGATGGGATGATGAAATGAACAAACAAACAAAATATTTTTGCCCAGGACAAACGTTAACCTAACCCTAACCCTAAGCCTCGTCCTACCTTAGGTTTGCAAGTTACAAACAGTTATTCAATGTAACAAACACTAACCCTAACTTCCTGTTTAGGATTAAACCACGATTTAACCCTAACTCAACACTAAATGTAACCTTTTGTCTTAAGCCTTGTAAAGACGTTTTTTTTGCCTAACCTAACCAAGTCATGTTGCATAAATGAACTTACATTTAACTTACAAAACTAATTTACATTTTAAGTTTATTTCTAAAAGATTGTGCACATTAAACCGGAAACTGTACATTTCCTGTGAAACCAATGTTTATTATGTAATGAGCAGAAATTGACTAGAGGTATCTAGAACATCATAGTTTGAAGCATAGGGTCTCCGAGCAAGCTTGTGTATTTGACAAATTGTCTTTATTTTGAGCCCCCATGGCTGCCTTCATCCAGTTTATCCCTTTGGTTTTGAAATGATCTCATAAGCCCAAGAATCATACAATTTTCTCACCCACCAAAAAGACAAGTAAACCTCCAAAACATAAAATCGATTTGACTTGAAACAATTTCTACATTCAGCCTTGATATCTGGCTCTTTCATAACAAACGAAATCTTCCAATAACGCCGTCCCATTTTCTATTTATGTCCCCGTTACCCTGAACCAAACCCGTAAACAAAAGGTAGAGTCATACATCTGCCTGAAGTCACATTACATGATAGCAGACACCAGCCAGAGTACTTTTTTATTCCCCGCTTTCCAATCACTGCTGTGCCCTTGATCCTGTGTTACAGCAGATTCATAGTAAACACAGTGACAGGTGTATTCATAAAGCACGGCTCTGAGCCCTGGAGTGTGCTCTGGCGCTACACCGGACTATTTGTCAACTGAAGAACTGTCAGGGTTCCTGTTCATATATTCATGGTGTCAGCGAGTGGGCGAGGTGCAGGGGAGCATTCAAGTGTTGGAAACAAATCCAGACCATATGAAGCTAAGGAGCAAAAAGGGATATGAGCATAACCACAATTGACAACCTTATATTCTAATTTTCTCTCTCTCTACTTTAACATTTAAACCAATTGGATGGGATATTCAAACCTGTCAGACAGCCTATTTAATGACTTATCCACCTCTATATCAATGTTAAATAGTTTTCAGTATTAAAGGAGCAATTATACGATGATTTGTTACGTTTAAGATGTTAGGTGTTTAGACTCTGTATGGCTCTTTCAGTTAGTGGTACCCTGCATCTTCCAAAATGCCAGTCTGCATCACATCCCGATCTGCCGGTGCTTTTTCTATGATGGATTTTTCCATGTGTGATTTCTGAGCACCAGTCTGTAAAGCCTTTCAAGTTCTTGACAGTCTCTGACACAGTTGCTGGTAACGATTTAAAGCAGGGTGATTTTACATATTGTTTTTCCTGTCAAATCCTGCTTGTATCTGTAAGAGCTTTTTCCAGATTCAGTTCAGTTAGTTTGTTTGCTTTGTTCCAATTCAAAGACTAATTTGATACCATCGTCGCATTTGTCCCGCGTTCCCTTTGTGTTCACGCTATAATCATGAGCGGTCCAACAGTTGTAAACAAATGCCAATCGTGATCAAGCTTTCATTGTTGAGAAATATCACGAGAAGAACATTAACACTCTTTTCTTTTTTCCATCTTCATTATGGAGAACCAGCCGAGTGTATTGCTAATTGCGTTATGTGGATAATATACAAATGTTGATTAAATGAACAAAATATCCTCTTCCAGCAAACAATGGCAGTTCTAAAACAATCAAATAATAAATGTATAAATTAGTTAGAGCACATTGCAATCTGAGACGGCAATTGCTTTTCTGACAGCACGTAACCCAACCCTAACCCTAACTTGATTATTTTCGTAAAGCTAAACAATGTTTCTTGTCATAAGCTATTTTTCACATCAGGCAAAGCACGAGCGTGTTGTTTCTGACTGCAAACCAATCTGTGCTCGAGCCATGATGTTAAAAACCACATCAATGAGTCACAATGTTACACTGGGTGATTTTGATTACTACTTTGAACATGAGCACTGTAGTTTATTTTTGACTCAACCCACATACACCATGCTTCTACTGTTGATACTCACTTGAGCAACCAATTTGTATTAATCCACTGCTGAAATACCTCCGCCCCAAAAAGCACCAATTTAACCCTGTTTGTGATATGTTTCCTAAAAAAGACAGTTGTTAAAGGAAATCACTGAGCGTTAATTCTTATTTCCATGTTTAAATATGTATGTCTTCAGTACGAATCAATGGGCTTGGATGTGAGAACCATACAAAGGGAAGTCAGTTAGATTAACAGAACATTAGTTTATATGTCTGGGTGTGTTCAAGAAGTTTGCAGACAATGAGAATATATGTGACCTGCTCCATCGAAATCAGTCGCATTGACCCGAAGACACATTTTGAGTTGTATGCACTGTTGGAAAGAAGAGATTCGTAGCTGTCTAATGATATCAGGATTGTTTTTGTACTCCAACAAAATATGTCACATTATATAATGACTGTCACCGAGTCATCATTTTGAGAAAAATGTCTTCAAAGTTTCCTCTTCTCTGGAATCCATCGATCTGATTGGTTATTAGAGGAGCAAATGATCAAAATAGTCCGGAGGGAAAATATTTTCGTTTGGATTACTGGTCTGGAGGAAGCTCGCTCGCGTGAGTGAGTGAGTGAGTGAGTGAGTGTGTGTGTGTGTGTGTGTGTGTGTGTGTGTATTTTTTTCGTTTGTGTGTATTGTGTTTGTTTCCCGGGGAAAACACTCACGAGAAACACCGGCTGTTGTTATGCCTGCTGTGATGTCAAGTTACTCCGTTCTCTGCATGTAATTATTCTGTTACAAGCTTCAACGTTGTATTTCTCATAAACAAGTTTAATATTCTGAAAGCCAAGACTTTGTTTAATTGAAATTCGATGAAAACAAACTGTAACGGACCCTGCCGTGTTATCTATGATTACTATACGCCTTACATTCATAATGTCGGCCGGAGGGAGGGGGGCAGCGCTGCGGAACAGCAGAGTGAGAGCTGTCATCTTCCCTTTACAAGCTTAAAGAATGTATTTATCGTGTGATTTTGGAAATAAAAGTTTCATATTCTGAAAGCCTAGACTTTGTTTATTTAAAATCAAACAAAACGCCCGAAAAACTATTTTTTACGTTATTTTGAAATGAGCCGTTGCAACTTTTCCGACTGATTTCGATAGAGCGGGTCACATATATTAGCCAATCAATGCTTACATACCTACCCTTTTTTGTACACGATTATATTACCATACAATTAAACTGCATTGTACATTTAGGGAGAAAGATATTTGGCTCATTGATTATGTTCACAGGTATACAAAAATAAAGATTAAAAAAGGCTAAATTAAATTACTTAGTTGGGTAATTTTTGTATGTTACTGTTGGCTTTGGGTTTACCAATGAAAACAGACTTTGAATATTTGTGATACATAGTGAAGAAACGTAATACAGGACAACATATATTTCCTTTAAAACGTTAATGACAATGCAGTTCCCTTGTATGGGAATGTCATTTTTAGAAAAGCTTTTGTTTTTCAGTATTTTAACTTTGTTTGGGACTCCTACTCCTGACACATCCATCAGGTACTTGTGCTTCTAAATTCAAAGCAAATTCATTGAAGTCAAGACAAAATGATCAAATGTTACAAATCACATATTTTGTCTCAAGGAACTTACAAGCTGTTTAACTCTCAACATCTTTAGACCCTAAAGTCAGGAAAACTCCTTTACACAAATAAATATATAATGGGAAACAAATAGAAAGATCAACAGAGGAGGGATTATGTTATCTCGCTCTAAAGCTGTTTGCCTGTCGTTTGATGCTCGGTAAAGAATGAAGCATTAGGTCCATTTATCTGCGAGCAGCCTTCTGCTGCCCAGAGAGCCTGAAAGAGAATATTCTTTAGGTTGCGAGTAAAATAATGCAAGTGATGGTTTCGGCTGACTATCCTGAGATAGCTCCGGTTGCACAACAAGTATAATGATACCCCCTGCTGCTGCGCCTGGACCGTGTTTTCAGAGCAGACGCATTATAGGAAATGTAACAGAATGTCACTCACAAGGTTATTGCCTCTCTCCCCTGCTGGCGGGGCATCTACATGGTGCTGACCAAGCTCCGAAACACAATCCACCACCACACAAAAAAGAAAAAACACAGCCAGCTGCCATTTTCAGGCAGTCTCTATGCCCCGTCGGGGGAATAGCCGGGGAGATATCAAAGGATCTGCGGTGCAAATGAGTAGCTTGAATCTCCTTTTCTCTCCTAATGATTTTCTTAAGCCGCTCACCATATAACAAATCATCAGCTTAAGCCGTTCTGTGGCTTAATTCTTATCGTTAATAAAGTTAACCTCTCTCACATCTGAGGTGTTGGCATATTCATCAAACCCAGTGGCGCCTCCATGACTTCAACTGAGATAGATAAGCTTTTTCTTTCAATTAGGAATGGATGCTCAATTAAGCTCTTTGATGCCTGACTTTTCATTAGATGGTGCATAATCTCTCGAGCATTTATGTCCAGTTGTTCTTAAACAAATCAATCGCTATCAACGTTATCGGTACACTCTTTGATTTCCGTGGAAGCAAAGCAATGAAGATTCACAAGCAATTAAGCAGCGATGGATTTCCACCCTGTGAAACCAATGTGGAGCCAAAGCAGGTGGAGAGTCGAGGTTTGTGGGAAATGTAACTTTGATGTGGTAATTTACCTGTACTGCGGAGGAGGGCTCCCCTCTGCCTCGCATGTGATGGTAGCCTGCTGGTCCGGGGAGTCGATCGGCAAAATGAGGTCAGTAGGCTCCGTCCTCCATCTTGGCCCTTGTAATATGACATCCTCTGCACAGGCTGGGGAGAGGGGAGAAAGTCTATGGTAGTACAAGCCAGATAAATTGTCTTTTTGACCTTATGGGAGATACTGGAAGAAACACGGACACTGTGAGGACACATTGTTAATCTTGCAGAAATACAGCAATTCAGAGTATATTATTTTGTCATTATATTAAATATATATCTCTTTCAAAAGACAAATGAATGCATTAGGACAATCCAAACCCTTTACTTATCCTGCATTGAAATGAGCTATTCCCAATTACCCTTGTTAGTTATTTGTATCTTAATGTGTGCATGTGTAAATGTGTCTGTTGATTGTGTATATATAGGATATACATATTGTATACATATTTGTATTTTAGTATTCGGGATTGTGGGAAACGGTATTTCGATCTCTCTGTCTGTACACACAAACTGAAATATTGACAATAAAGTTGGCTTTGACTTATTGACGGCTCATGTGACATATATAAATATATATATATATATGTGTTGGTTTTGTTGAACGTGACAGTGGAATAGTGAAGTAAAAAACAATGACAATGGTAATAAATCATCATATTGTTCCTACTGTCCAATATAAATAATCTCCCTACTTCAAAACTCACATGTAAAAATACAAGTAAGTAAAAAATGCTGCCAACATGTCTTATAATGTTGTTTGAATATTCAGTTGGATAAGGGGGTTGAAAAGGCAGTTAAACAAAGCTCACAACAATTATACAATTATTGTCGAAAGAAAGTGAAATAATAGCCAACAAATCTGATAGTCGACAATTGTTTTCGTTAATACAAAGATTGTTTAAAAATGTACTTTTAGGAGCCTCAAATATGAAGATTATCCTACTTTGAATACTGAATATCTGCGGACTGACAAACTAATACATTTAAAGACATCATCTTAGACTTTAAGGAACTGGGATGGACATTTTTTCCCTTATTAAATGAGAAAAAAGTCTGCAGAATATGATTGATAATGAAAAGAAAATTGTTAGTTGCAGCCCTAAATTACTTGCCATAATGATAGATAATAATAGTTGAGGACTTAAGATGGGCTCTCAAATCTACCAACAATTACAGAAAGCCCTTTTTCACAAACTTCCTCAGTAATTAACTACTCTCTGCTCGTGACAGGGATGATGAATAAAGCCGAACAATCTATTTTCAGAACATCTATGTCATACTTCCAATGCACCGGTTAATTGAGGCCATAAGGATGCACTCATCTGCCAGCAGCTTAAAAGGAAAGGATGTGGAACACAATCTGGTGCTAAATGAAAGCAGAGCCAACAGACGGCCGGAGTAGGTCTAATTAATATCCTACTGCTAACAGATTGCAGCATGTGGCTAGCAGTTCTACACGTGGATTATAACCGGTGGTAATATGTCCAGAAATCAAAACATATTTCACTATGAACACAAGATGGAAACAAATCCCGTCATCTTGGTTTGGTTGATCAGAAAATGGAGAACATGGAGCGGAAAACCAAACAACAGGAAAACAAATATTACATTTTGGGTCAATCTGAAACACTCACATTAAAAAACATATGGTATAATAATGGATTTGTAAATGATCAAAGAACTATAATTACTTCAAATCAATTCAGCCGCACACGTTTGGTTTAACAAGCTTCGAATAAAGCTTTGTCGGTCTGTCATCATAAATGAAAAACTCCTTCCTATTTCATCAGATCTTCTTTTAGTTAGTTTCCCTTTCACCACAGTGTTATTTAATTGTTAAACAACACCAATTATGGATCAATGATTATTTCTTTAAATTAAATCATACCATGAATTCGAAAAAAAAGTAACTTTAAAAAATATATATATAGAATTTTGGAACATGGTGTGGAAAACCAAACAACAGAAACATTTAATTTGGGGTGGAAAACTCACATTTAAACATTTGTAAATTATCAAAGAACTAGCATTAGCTTCGAGTAAAGCTATCTGTCATCAAAAATAAATATATCCTTCTCCTTCCATCAGATCTTCTTTTAGTTAGTTTCCCTTTGATCGTGGTGTTTTTTTAATAATTAGACAAAAACAATTATGGATCAATCATCATTTCTTTAAATTAAATTATGCCATGAATTCAGAAAATTGAATGTAGAATTTTGGTCTTTATGGGCGTGAATGACCCATTTGATCCAAAATGGTGGAACGAGCTCCCCATCGAAATCAGTACAGCAGAAAGACTACACATCTTTCGTCGCAGACTGAAAACCAACTGTGTCTGTTTCTCAGCCAATAAAAAAAATATTATGGTAGAAAATCTCTCTTCTGTACAAAGCACTTAGAAAGGTTTGGCGTAAATTGAAGCTAATGCGCCTCAATTGCTGCTTATTGATAGCTAAAGAGCCTGCAGGAGGCTTGTTTTTGGATTTGTTTCCTCATGGTCGAACCCACCTATTGTAAGTTGGTTTGGAGTCTCAGCTAAATTAAATGTAATGTAAACAATGCTCTAGAGTTATCGGAAATATGTGTCACACAAATCTGACATAATCGGACTCAGCTAACACTGGAATTCTAGTAAAAGTACACTAATTGTAATCTTAGCCTTTACCTGTAATTGTGCTCAAATGAGAGGTTGAAACCAAATGAATTGATATGCAAAAATCAAAGCAGGAGAGTATTCAAATGTCTGTGAATCTGGAGAAGACGCCATGCAGCCTAACATGTAAGGTGTAATTGTATTTCGTTATCTCCCAGAATATAGAGCATGTCACTTCAGACATCACAATGATTGTTATTATCAGCTGTAGTGATTGTCAAGGGTTTCCATCACAACACTGAATAAGAACCGGCACTTATAGGCCCCTGTTCAAGACACTCGTCCGCCAGGAAGGTGAGCCCGCTTGGATCTGCCTCCCTTGAGTACTGGACGTGAATTACCCATGAGCCAATTTGAATAACATTTATTGGGATTTACAATGTCATTGGAACAAGGGTTGACATTCTGCTGGAGTGTCTCTCCCACTCGAATCCCAGGTGGCCACACAAGGGCAGAATGACTGAGGCATGGCGGCAGGGGGATTGTGCTAAAATGCAGAGGACTGGATTCATTGCATGGATCCTGATAATGATCTGGACTATAGGCCATAAACAGGGATGGGATCGGACTCTCGGTCATGCCTAACAGCGTGCCGTAAAAAGTGAAGCAGGACGAGAGCGGTGAAGGACATCATGCTCGAACGCTGCTTATTTAATGACTGTGACTTAATCAGTGTAACCTTTTTGGTCGGGAAAGATTATTTATTTACCGTTCTGATTCTGTGTCCTACTCACTAATGAGTTAAAATCTTCAATTCATAAAAATTGCTTCTACTAAGACTGAAATGTTCTTTAAATTGAACCTATTTTACTTATAGGTCGATGCAATTCAACAAAGTGCTTAAACAGACGATGACACTGATGTTCTGCTCTGGGAAATTACAAATGTTCAACTCTTATGCCTCGAACGCTGTTTATTTAATGACTGTGACTTAATCAGTGTGACATTTTTGGTGGGGAAAGATTATTTATTCACCGTTCTGATTCTGTGTCCTACTCACTAATGAATGAAACTCTTCAATTCATAAATATTGCTACGAGAGATGGAAATGTTCTTTAAATTGAACCCTATTTTACTCATCGGTCGATGCAATTCAACAAAGTCCTAAAACAGACAATGACACTGATGTTCTGTTCTGGGAATTTATAGCTCATGCTATCTTTCAATTCTTATCCCTCGTTAGGCTTTAGCTTGAAAAGTGCCATTAAAATATACAGTTTGCAGTGTCGTTAATACACTGTGGTAATTTAGACTTAATTAGCAGAAATGGGTACCGCTATGGTCTGCTTTTAGTCGGCACTTAACCTTTGTTGTAAAGTATTTTATATCTGAAACTAATTAGATTTTAGTCGGTAATGGGTTGTAAAGTTGACAACACTTGATTTTCTACATCTATCTACAGTGTGGTGTTTTTAAAGTTGCAATTCGCTGATGTTCTTTTCTTTGATATATGTGGAAATAGGCTCTGGGGCTTGACTTTAAATATATCTCAAAGCTAAATTAAGAAAACTAAAAAAAAGTAAGTAGCTCTCAAAACATAAGCAGAATGTATATTTTTAAGATGTGACGGTGCCAGCGGACATGCTTTGATCCTTTTATTTCCAGTGTCATTCATTGTAGATGGTGATGCTTGAGTCCATACTGTCATACAATATGAAACATAAGGATGAAAGAGTGTAAAAATAACCAGGCTGTTTGATATATTAAATATGATTAAGGTTGATCTTTTGGAGCAATTTAAGGGTCTTCAATTATTCCTGAAACTTGATTTCTAAACTGAAGCCTTTAATCTTACCGACTTGTTTTTGTTTGTGACATTTAAATTAAAAAAAAGCAACATAATATGGTAATGAATATGGAACATGTTTATTAGGCGAGACGTTGTCCTGAAACAAACAAGTGCAGTGAGAGTGAAATATAATAAGTGTTAAAATATCTTACCTGCAAGGCATCCGGTGATTGATAGCAGAACAATTTGTTTCCATGGAAACATCATCTTTAGTTGCCGAGGGCTAATAAGACTCTCATCCAATTGCTTGCGACTGGAATGTCCTCCCTTGAATACAAGAATTTTAATCTGAAGGGAAAGTAATTATGGATATGATTAAAATATGACATTTTGATCCAAATACGACATGCATTCATTAGGAAAAACACATTATTATAGCACTGCTAAGTTACATAATAGGTTCTTATTATTCGGGAGATATTCAAAGGGAAGAGAAAGTGAATCTTGAGAAGGGAACAGCAGACTGGAACCTGAAGATTATGTGTTTTTAAAGGTGGCGGAGAAGAATAAACAGCTGCTAAATGGGAATGTTTTCATCTCGCCTAACAAGCTCAATGTTCTGCTTTAAAGGGGAGTGAGGAAGGGAGTGACCTCAAAAGATACTCTTCATATTTTACTATTAATAGGAGCCGGCAGACTGTGTTTCAGCAATCTACAAAATGCCAGTTCATACTTTAACAAAGGCTTCAGTGGGCGACTTTATGTAAGCACACTGATTGTATTTATTTTAGTATGCACACATAATGTCCTAACGTCAACAGAACTATACGAAGGCCACATACTAAAACAAAACGGTGCATTTCCTTGTCTGTTATTACTGTTGGCTGAAATAACTATATTTACTGTTCTTTGTAAACCTTTAATTCAAACGAGGTTTAGATGGGAACACCCACCATTTTACACGCCAAGATCAATTTACAATTCAGGCCGTCAAAAAGGTTTCTGAGACAATAGGCTGTGTTTATTTTTGTGAGATTCACATAATCAAACATGCTTGATTTTGAAATTAAAGGGGCCCTATTATGCACATTTTCAGCTTCATATTTGTATGTAGTGTCTCCACTGTGACATGTCTCCATGCTTTAATGTTCAAAAAGGTCTTTATTTTTCTCATACTGCCTGCCTGTGCTGCAGCACCTCTTTTTCACCCTCTGAGCCCAGTCTGCTCTGATTGGTTAGCTGGCCAGCTCTGTTGTGATTGGTCATCCACTTTGAGATGTCCCGCCCCTTAGCCTATCACGTAACAATGTGTCGAAGCGCTAGCCAATAGAAGCGCGATATAATATTACAGGAAAGGGAAAACCCAACAAATAAAAATAGGGCCTCTTTAAGTATACATTGCACTTACTTATTTTGGTAGTTTTGAGAGTTTGGGCCAGTTATATGTTTAATTTAAGCATTTTTAATTCCACACAACCGACGGAAAAACCTTGGATAAAGATGAGTATATTTTTCCATGATGTAAAAGCGCAATTGCATTGCATCAACGTAGCTTGTTGCTTGGGTGAGGCTGCAGAGGCCTGGCAAATTTACGAAACCAAATACATTATTGCTTGACATGCTGTTGGTGTGGAGTAGAAAGTATGCTAATGGTTGCATTATGGGAAGTGTGTATCCAGTGGTTTTGAAGCTTGGCTGAAACAAGTGAGGACATCTCGGCCTCTGACGCACCGATTTTAAAAATGATCTTGAATCTAACCCTCCTGAGTTCCCTTTCATTGTGGAAACATTATATTTAATTGTTGGAGTACCACTGGTTGTATTAGTCTGTCACTAATCGCCAATTGGCTAATTCTATCCAAAAACATACATTGCAATCTTTATACTGCAATTTCAATACATCTTGATATAAGTTCATGTTAGAAGATGTTATCCTTGCATATATCTGCCACCCCCATCCCCTTTACTGCCACGTGGTCCTACACCCAAAGATTGATCATCCAATAATTGCCGCATCAGATATCCAATCTAACTGGTGATCAATGACCTAGATGGCCATTAAACTTTCCATATAAGGAGGTCAAAGGAAGAGCCTTAAGACTGTAACTGTGGTATCAGTGGCGCAGGAGGGGCTTTGCTCAAGCCCTGACCCACATCACAGTAAGTAGGAACTGATACGCCTCTCAGGATTAAGAATTCATCCCGACCCCTTACAACACAACTCTGTTATGCGGATTAACAGAGGGCTATCTTTAGAATTCTTGAAAATATTAAACCACTCACTTGTTTCACAAACTTGTTACTGAAGGATTGTGGCTGTGGTCTGAAAGAATGACTAGATAACCGCTGAGTACGAGGCAGCTTGGTGGTGCTGAGCAGACACAGTAGAATCTACATTTGCCTGATCACAACTTAATGGAGACTATTTGACCCTCATGGCGCCGGTAATTGTTCCTCATCTGGTGTAATTGCAGGCACAGAGAGATTTAGAGTGGATTTCCTGGTGTCTTTCAAAATTTCTGGGGCGTTTTGCCACTCTAAAACCCCCATCACATTGGATTACACGGATTGAAATTCTACCAGAGCAGAAAAAAGAAAAATGTGTGCTGCATTTTTCAGTTTGAGAGGAGTATTAACTGCCATTCGTTTCTGCTAGGATCCGACTTCGTCATCCCAAATCACTCCAAGAAGCCTCAAGATTCTAAGAAGAAAATCTCTTGGAAATACTTTCTTTGCAAGTTGGCTGCTACACAGTTCATGGCACAGTGTCTCTGCTGATATGATGGATGTTTGCCCCTAAGCACAGCTTCATTCTGCAGCCTGTAAAACATGCAGTGACATTTTCATTTGTGAGCGTTTTCCACGGTAGCTGATTCGTGTCAGCATTAACGGTTCATTAAAAGGCCAAAAGGAATGCCATTTTTCTCCCAACCATTGTGTAAGAAGGGTCACCCTTGCCTTGAAAATTATTTCGGCGGACAGCTTTTCAGTGGCTCTCGCAGGAGAGCTTAAGAGTCTCATGATGTTCCAAAATCTATTTCAGAGCTCAGAGAATTGTATCACTTCTGACCTTCAAAAAAGCTGCACTAGTGTCAAACCTTGAGGAGCTGCATATAAGCCGAAGCTTTAGCAAAATCCCCCCCCCCCAAAAAAAAACTCTGTACGCAGAGAAAACAACTCCCTCCGGGGTTTCGTGGGACGATGAAGGTGAGATGGCATTTTCTTTCTCCTTCGAAATGATGAGCAAAAGATTGCTCCGCCAAATGTAATGAGGCATCACACTTTCACCTCCACAGAAGCTAAATCTAATGGAAGTCATTGGCTAAACGCATTCCAGAGTAAATGAGATGACTTCTTGGTTAGCGGGGCTGTTGTTTGGCACATAATTGATAGGAAAGGTGGTTAAAGGCATCCATTTCACCCCCCCCGGAGGGCACCGTAATTGCAAAAAGAATCCAATAAGAGAGGGAGCAGAGGAGAGTTTGAATCACAGGGGTGTGCAGGCTCAAGGTTTTTGTATTCAGATCACAAAACAGAGTTGTGAGATCAAGATATATATGAGATCCTGCACACACAAAAAACCTGTCAAAATTGCACAGCAGTGGCACAAAGGGTATGACTCCACTACCGTATGTGATGCATTCATTCCCACTAACTCATTGTCTTTATGACTTTCTGCTGCCATCTTCATTAAATCACTCAGCAAGAGAACCTGGGAGAGAGGATCCGCCACCCGGGGACCGACTCCATCTGAATACACAGCTGCTCTGTGCTTTCGCCAATGAATGAAGAATTCACAATCAGCTGTGCACTGATGCCACCTAATTCACTCAGAGTAACTGCAGACATGACTATTACACATGAGCCAGGGTGGATCAAAAAGGAAATTAGCGAAGTCATTTGGAAATAAAGGCAGGGCTTAATATCTGCATTTCACGGTTTAGGATGCAGCGAAATTGTGAGATGAAAGGTGTTGTTGGGGTTGCGTAATAGCTTTGCATTATCTTAGATGTTTCCACGGCTCATTTCAATCAGAAAGGCTTCTCGTGTAATTGCAACCCAACCAGCTGTTACATTAACATTGATGAAAGAAGTGTGTGCATATTCTCTCCTGAGAGGTTTCCTACATGTTTCAGGCAAGCTAAAGAAAAGCAAGTAGCCACTTCACACATGTTTCTGACGCATGTATGAATAAGGAAGCATGATTACAACTGTGACTAAGGTCACGTTTGAATGCCGGGGGACAGCATACAGCGATGAATAGGGAATGCACCGCTTTATTCACTCCAGTGAGAAGCAGGGACATTAAGTGGACTGCATTTACACAGTGCTTTTCCAGTCCCCTCAAAGCACTTGTTCATATACAAGTCAGCATAACTCACATATTGCTTATATACTTATGAAGTTAACCAACGACCTTTCCATCCAGCTGTACCTCCTGAGTTATGTGGCCGAAACATTACGCTCAAATATTAGGGTTTTCACACCATGCAAGAAAGCTGTCATTTAACTTTTAGCGTCTACATTTGTACCACGTATGGATAAACATCTGGGCAGGACGCTCTGGAGAGAGCTGTGTATTTTCATGCGGAAAAAATAATCCCTGGACGACAGCCGGTCTCCCACAGTGAAACCTTCCTATGTTAAACACGGCTGCATCCCTCAGCTGCTGCCTAACGCAGGGGCAGGAGAGTAAGTGCACTTAAAGGAGAGGGGAGCAGCGATCCATTTCTCAACCCTATCATCAGCCAGGCACATCCCCTGGATCCTCAGCCCAGACACAGCCATGACTGGAGGTCAAGCATGAGGAGCAGGAGACACTCACGCAGGCGCTTTACATTTCTTTTTTTATTATATTCAATCCATTTCACAACCTCTGTTGAAAAAGAATCTGGCAGTGCGGTGTAATTGCCACTCAGGTTCAAATCAAAAGGGCTTTTCGTAGGAAATGGTGCCACAAACTCATCCCCGCACAGCCTTATAGAATAATTCACTGCATGTCTTCAAAAACATGTTTCACCTCTCATTTGCTAAAGAATATTTGTGAGGGATCTATAAATAAACATGAGCAGAGAGTGATTACCATCCCTGCTTACTTTGAAGCATTTTTTTTTATTTTCTTCTGTTGGCCGGGTCTGTCTGCGTGGGGAGGGGGAAAGTATAGAGACCACTGGTGGCCAAATATGAGCTTTTCCAGGCAAAATTGCATGAATGGAGCTGAGCTATTTAATTCCTTAAATAACAACATTACCTTGGAGATTTATTTAAAAACTGGAAATATCTGAATACTATGACGTAAAATCACAATTTGGGGAGGAATCTTAAAACATAGACTATTCCTCTGTGGGAATAATTGCCTTAAAACAAGTTACAGAGAGCTTTTCCTGAGCAGAGCGGCACCATATGGACTTTGTACTAGATGAGGGAAATGAGCCCCAACAGTAGAATTCCCAGTAGGACCAAGCAAACCATTTGGGACTCTGGTAGAAATGCATTTATCAGCAGCATACATGTGTGCCCACGATCAGCATGCACACACTGCCCAATGTAGATCACTAGATAAAACCACAGGGGTTATTTTATTATGAAAATTAAATTGGATTTGCAACTAATTTTCAAATAAAGTTCATGCAGGGAATGACAAAAAAAAGCATACTTACTTGTTCTATTTGTTCCTCTCCATTAAACTGCTTTGATTGTATTCCAGTGTCAGTTTTAGTGTGGCTCTAGTGAGCGGATGACATTTCTCTCAGTAACTCTGGTCCAGAGGAGAGGCTCCGGTTTGCTCTTAATTCTGCTCCGTAAAGTGCGCCTCTCGGTCCTGGAGGATGGGACTGACTGCAGCCCCTTCCTCGGTAAATCCCACACAGAGTCAGGGAGTTGGGGTTGATCCGCGCTGCACCCGGGATGCTCCGGTATTACACTCCACAAGATGTTGGCAAGAAGAAGCAGAGAGGACAGCCTCTGACCGGAGAGACTCTCACATTGTGCGCATCCCCGGGCTCTGCTCTCTTTGTACGCAGGAAGAAGCGCCCACTGGTGACGCGTGAACAAAAAAAACACCCATAGCAGCACAGTAATGCGCCACCAGCCTATATGGGCACCTGTCATTCTTCTGCTAGAGGGGAGAGACCACTTGATCTCCCGGATATATGTCGATATTAAAAGCAGAAACCAAGAGGGAATTTGATTTATAGGGATTTTATTCATGAGGTGTATATAAAAAAAATTGAAATATAAAGAGAAAATGCTAGGGATGACATTATGAAAATGAACAACACCTGATTATTTTTCACAGAAACCAAACGACCTCATCTTAGTTTTAAAGTGTTTTTGTGGTTAATTGATGCAGGGGATTTTGCAGTATTGTGTTCTGATTTGCAGCTTCTGCTGATCAATGAAAGAAGGGGAGATAATGGGGGAAAAGTGATGCATTCGAGAAAAAGGGAGGCTTTTAAAAATCAAATAAAAACATCAACGGTTATTTTTATTCGATGTAGAATGAGCCCACATGTTGTAATCTTCAGATACAGCCTTAATGAGAGCAGTGGTCAAATGTAACCAAGTACATTGACTTATGTGTCCTTCAGTAAACTATTGAGGTACTAGTACTTGAGTATGTCCAGCTACTTTATACTTTTACTCCACTAAATGTATTTTACGTATTTAGTTAGTATAGGTTATTAATCCAACATATAAATAAATCATATATTATTAAATGTTAACCTACTAACTAGTAAATCATTTAGTTCAAATAAACCCCACTTGCCCCAATGCAACATTCAAGGATGAATACATTAATGCACCAACAATTTAATACATTATTTTAAAATGCTGAAATAGACCAATCTGCATAATGAGTACATTTACTTTTTGTACTTCAAGTATTTTTTAATGCTAATACTTTTGTACTTTTACTTAATTACGATCTTGAAATGCAGGGCGTTCACTTGTAACTGAGTATTTTTACACAGTAGTATACTATAACTTATGTAAAAAAGTACTTCTTCCACCTCTGATATAGAGTGAGAGGTACTATTAAGGGCAGTAGGTACACATGTGGTAGAGAATTACACAGATACAACCTGTCTATGTTGCAACAGACAGTTTTAAGTGTAATTTTGCAACAGCGTTCAGTCAAATGCTTATTAACATAAGGACTGATGATATGTGATTCTTGTATTACATGTTACTTTTATCCAAAGGGACTTACATACTCAATACTGTGGGCAATCCCCACAGGAGCAATTTGGGGTGAAGTGTCTCAGGGACACAACGACATGCTGACTGCAGTGGGGTTTAAACCTGTGCTCCCCTGATCCAACACCAACGCACAACCCACTCTGCCACACCCCTCCACGTTGTATGTTACAAATCGGAGCTACAAGTATGTATGCATGTTTAAAACATATTTCATGTGACCTTAAAAATTTTAGCAGTCCTCCTTTTAAAGAAAAAAACGATCCTCGTTCTCTATTCCATCATGAGTTATTAACGTTTTTGATCGTCTTTAGAATGGGAAAGTTATGCACAACAGCCTCTTGTGATCAAAACCATTATTATAACAACAAATATGTACGTTCCGAAAACAGACACATTTACACTAGGTCCTGGAAATGTACCAATTANTACAAATCCCAGAGTAAGTGATGTCATTACTGTTTTCCTCCACTAAGAGATAAACTCAGCATAATATAGATATAATCTATCTATATGGCGCTGGCTAAGATAAGATAACTTTAACAAGATGCCTGTGTGCTTAGTACCAGCAATGGGTCTTGCTCGTTCTTTTGCTTCCCGTGTGATGAAAGGACCAGGAGTGGCTGGATCAAGTTAGCTACCTAGCTAGTGGCTAGCATGTTAGTTAGCATTACAGCCTTTCATTTTTATTAGTCTTAATATGAAGTAACATCAAGTAACCCAACATGTTAAACAGTAAGAGTAGTAGTCATATTTCGTGAACCCTTTGAAGAGTACTGTCACACCATTGTGAGCATTCTATAATACACAATTTAAGCCCGGGGGAGAAATGCTANNAGGCAGCTTTGCATGACATTCTTCTGGACGTGTTTCATTGTGGTGATAGTGAGGGTAGGCAATCCTTTTGTTGACAAGACAGTAGTGACGGCAATCTTGGTGACGTGTGTTGTTCTGCTAGACCGGAGATGTAGTTCATTGAGCGTTTCACACAAACAAATGTGTTACTTCACAGTTTTACAACACATTTTTATTTTTTTTACTTGCAAAATTATCTTTTAAATTGACAAACATTACACATATGTGTAATTCGTGGCACAATTCAAACGGGATCAAAAGATAATCTTTCTCTCTCCATTGACTTCAATACATATTTTTTCCGAAATAAGGTCCCATGGACCACCGGAAGGGGAGGGACTTCGCCGGTCAGCCACGGCCCAATTTAGCCCCTGCCCACAACGGAGCTGATCCAGATTTTCGTCCGATGTGACGTAATATCGGAAATGTGGGTTGGCTTTATGGCTACGGCCCTATCAGAAATGTTGCCGTATCAGAAACAATGCGTGACGTGTTTTGGAAGTAATATGCTCTTTGTTTACATTAGCATTCTGATACGGCAACATTTCTGATAGGGCCGTAGCCATAAAGCCAACCCANACCTGCAAAAATCTAAATGTTCTAGGGGGAGGCCCCCCAAACCCTTCGTGCGTCATTTCGTCCGCGCGCATTTTTCAGGGCAATCTCTATTGGGCTCAGGGCCATCTGTAAATTAGCTTAGATGGCCCACAGGGCCATCTCCCAAAATCCTTAATGTCATGCACTGTATAATAAAACATATTCTAAAAAAATAAAAAATGACTATGATCACCAGTTAGTTACTTAGTGTATCATTATGTTGTTTGGTGCTGTTAGAGGTGTAATCACTAAGCTGCCAACTGTGGCTGGAGATGACACTGATGAGAGCCAGAGTGAGCTGAAAGACGCTCAAGTGCTTTATTGAGCTGAGGTTGACTGCGTACTCATTCCGCTGATGTGTCGTTTTTTTGCAGGTTTGTCCCTGCGAGAGACAAATGTAACACTAGTTACCTTAAATGTGCACTGGCTCTAGATACAGGGTATATGCAGGAATCCTGAAGTCAAATTTAATACCTTTTAACACCCCGCGGACACCCTGAGATAAGGCTTTTGATTAACTTGTTGTTTTAAGGCCACTGAAGTTCTCTAAAGCATTTGAAAAAAAGCGTTAACCATTTTTGAAATGATAAGAATAGGCTCTGAGCATTATAATGTTTTTCTTAATGGGCGGCTCTTTGTCACAGTCTTGTAAAGGGATTGGTGAGATGGAGTATTCAGTTGGTTTCAATCTGCAACTGCAAGATGCCTCACAATCCTACACTTTGTGTCTTTGAGAGAGCTCCAAACTGCGTTGAAACTAACAACCCAAGTGGCTAATCATGGTACTACACAAACAGTCCCCTTTGGCTTAAAAGCATTTTTCCACATAATATTTAAATGTTGAAACACTAGTTGATATGACACCTGATTTTCCCAGGGCCAAGATTATGATCTTCACATGGTGGCTTTGGTTCAATGCAGGACACCCGGGTTGTTTAGAGAGAAAAAGATACAAACCGCATTGACCGAAATGCAAGTTAGTTAATTTTCTTTAGTTTTAACATACATTTTTGGACTGTGCTTCTGATTTTCATTTCATTTAATTTCAAACCTTTATTTAACGAGATTGGTCCCATTGAGATCATAGATCTCTTTTTCAAGGGAGACCTGCAGCATATAGGTTCCACATGAAACATAAAACAATAAAGGACATTATACATTATATTTACAGGTAACATTTACATAGTTATAGACACTTACAAGAGTTATAGACATTTACAAGATTAATATTATCATTTATATGCAGGTATCTTTTTTTGGTAGCAAATGCAATTTTGTGTTTCATTCTAAGCAATATTTCGCATGTTTTTATTGTTAGCTGTCATAAGAAATGTGAGCATACAGTTGAAGCAGTTGAACTTTGAAGGCAAACAAAGCAGCAAAGGCATGACATTTCTATGTTAGGGCATGGCCTCATTACATAGAAAAGCAGAGTATCAACCATGCTGATCTTCTTGACCTCCCTCACTGCGCATTAGGCAAGATAATAAATGTCAAGCAGCTCTGCTCCTCACCCAGTCCCACAAGTGAGATTCATTACTAGCTATAGGGGTAATGGCTGTCCATCTCCTGAGAGGAAGTGAAATGCTCTCTATCCTTGGGACATGATCAATAGTCAGCAGGCCTGTTCAAGAGAGGAGATGTGCTTGTACAGTGTGATAGGTAGGAGCTCCACAGCATCTCTCTCCACCAGGCCTTTTGTATTTGGAGCAGCAGGCTGACAGGGCAGCACACAGCCTTTCTGATCCACTCAAAATCTGCCGTATACATTATTCATGGAGGGGTGGACGGTGATTACAGAGATGCAAACACTTCTCAAGCATTATTTCAGTTTGTCTCCTTTAAAGTCTGGATCACAGGAGCTCGCTGGTGTATCACTTGGCAAAATATGAATCAATATCGGACCAAGCATAGATGCTGTCAGAGTTGGACCCACTAATGAGAATCAATGGAGTTCAGAGGCAGTCAGACGCGGGTTGTTGATTCTGACATATAATGCAATTAACATGAAAAATCTATTCTCAGGCTAAATGAGAAATTGGAATAGTAAACGAAAAATATCTTTAAAAAAAGCCTGGGTAACAACACATGTCAGCAGATACAAAGAGACGCCAGGATGTCCTTAAATGTCGAGCCAAGAAACATGTTATAAGATGACTTACATGCAAAGTGCAGGCTGGCTCTGCGGCTGAGGATGGACCCCCACGTGTTGAAGGCCATGCACTGGTATACCCCGATGTCTTGGTTCTTGTCCAGGTTGCTAATGATCAGGCTGCCCCCAGACATGTGACGCCGGTCGTCGTTCCCCAGATCAATGAGTGTTCCGTTTAGTGACCATCTGGAAAAACGCAAACACAATCAGTAGCTGAGCCCCCTGGAGATGCACACTCACAGTGTTTATCACAGAGATCGATTCAATCGGTCAAATCCTGCTGAGAAGATAAAAGGTCAGTAATAAGAGAGGGTTCCTGTGTTGGTGAAAGAGAAATCTGAATGTAGTATGTGTCCCTTATAGCATGTTAGGACAAAGACTAAATGTATTGATATTGTGAACAGCTGTTACTCCCTGTTTAACGTTTCCATCCATTGAAGTATTTTGTTTTTTACTAATGTAGGCAAAATACCAAAACTGAGCAAATCTGCGTTGGTGAGTATTCACTTTTCTCCCACTCACATGGTGAAGTAGGTTTTTATTTCATCTCAATGTTATTTACATTCACTTGGGACTTGGGAGTAGAGATGTCCCGATCCGATCACGTGATCGGGGATCGGAGCCGATCACGTGATTTTCAAAAGATCGGAATCGGGAGAAAAAAAATCGGGGATCGGGATTTAAAAAAAAAAAAAAAAAAAAATTTAAATACTTTTTTTTAAATGTTGTATTTAATGTTACAAAACAAAAATGACCATGTTTAAGTCTTAAAGTCATCCTGAGGCCTTAGTTTTGGTTTCAAATTACAGAACATCATGTATGTGTTGCTTCTTTGGGGCTTGTTTTCATAGACCTGGTTGCTTATTTCTCTCAAATCTGGCAACAGAGTGGGCGCAGTGTCTAATTGTAGCAGTAAGCTAACGAGTACTGATAAGCTTTATTTTGNGTCTGCAACGGATCTGATACACACTGATCCAGATTTGAAAGCTTCTGTGACGTCAGAGAAGTGGCGCTACGGCTATTGGGCCAACTCCACCAATCAGGAGGAGACAGCCACGGACATTGCCGTTCGAAAGCGCTGGAGACGCTGTAGAACATATGCCAGGCCTGTAGATGGTGCTGTTCTCACTGAATCAGCCCATGCAAAGACAGTGTTAAATTGAGCGAAATGAGGAATGGCTAAAATGCATGATCTGTTTGGTATTTTGAAAAATAAAAAGTATAAATATGCCTTATATAAGTATGGTCCTACACTATATTATTCAAATATAGCATGATAGGTCCACTTTAAATGAGAAAGGGCCCCTGTGTGTGTGTGCCTGCTCTCATCAGCGTCAGCCCCCCCCCCTGATTGTTTCCACCTGTGCCCAGTTACCTCTTGTTTAAATTCCCCAGCCTCCCCTTGTCTTGTGCCAGTTCGTCTTGTCCTGTCTCCATGTCAGTAGCCAGCGTACCAGCGTACCATGGGCTGCACGATTTTGGGAAAAAATCTAATTGCGACACACACACTCACCTACAGTTAGTCCAACAACGCCCTTTGCTGGCGGCATATTCATTATAACAGACACCTATACACTCCCTAACCCTAACCCTACTGTTTATTTGTAAATATCTCCTAAAGCCTACAAATAAAGTGTGAAATGTAGGCCTGCTACATATATTATTGAACGATATATATTATACACACTGTTCTGCTTTATGCACTGACCTCAGCAGCTGTTCTCACTGTAAACATCGCGTCACAATGAAAGCAGTTGTATAATAGATAGCCTAACATCCAGGGGATGTGATTAGTGAGTAAACAAACGGTAAAGGGCAGAAAGTCTGATACACATTTGATCATTTTAAATAACTTATAATCACAACAGGAACAGTTTGCAGAGCTGTGCTTCGTTGACATAAGTCCAGCCATGCGTCACACCTCTTTTAAACATCACTGTTGGCTGAAATCGTCTCCGGAGAATACTTCAGTGTACCCTCGGTTACGGCTCCTCTCGACAGCCTCAACGTTCCTCGACGAGACTTTAGAGAAATTTGTTTTCCTTCAAGACAGCGCGCCGACACACGTTTCCGGGTCGCTGCCGGAGGACTTGGGAGTCTGGGACGCCAAAATCATAGAAATCACAAATGGCTCATTTCGGTGGACTCGCGCGCGTCTGCTTGACGCCGGGACGACCGGCTGCCCTCCCCGACAGGCGCACGGACGCGAGGGCCCGCTCATCACTTCGCACACTTCTGTGACCGCAGTTTTAATTAGTTGTGATCCTCATTCTCAGAGAATTTGTGTTGTTACCTTTTTGTTTTGAACCTTTTTCACCTCGTCAAGAGTGTCGATCCTTTTTTGTGACCTGATTTTTTGGAATAAAGTATTTTTCTCATACTTTATCTGTCTCCTGGTGTCGTGCATTTGAGCCCTAATACCTTGTGTGTTCAAGTTCGTGACACAAGAGTAGTCTTTTCACAATAATATACACCATACACCACATAGGTCTAGGGTTGGGTATCGTTTGAATTTCCACGATTCTGATTCCGATTCTGATTCTACTTTTCGATTCCGGTTCTTAACGGTTCTCAATTCCGATTCTTTGAGGGGCAGGGTAAAAAAATTACATTTATTCGAGAAACTTTTACACAGGTTAGTTTACAGTAATATTCACATTAATCAATCTGTTTATATTCACTGCTATGTAACTGTAACCTGAGAACCACTGAAGCTACAACAGTGCAACCC